GCTGATGCTATAAATAGACAAGCCCCAGAGGGGTGGACCGCGGTTTCTGTTTAAATTGAAAACGATTAAATGTTGTTCTTTCAGTAACAGTTTGCTATCTGCTTTTCAACTAGTTGCTAGTGTACATTTTTTTCCATCATAGTGTATTTGTTTGTGTTACAGTCCTGAAACCTAAGGAAGCATTTTAAGAGTGCCCCCTTTTTACAGAAATGGACTCTCCCCCTGTGTAGCGGACTGCTTTAAAGGGATAGTCCTGTCAAATGATCCCTTCCTAATTCAGGGGGAGACAATAGCATTAATTAGGGGGTGGGGTGGGGTATGAAACATGGTTCTGTGTGTCGCTATGTTTCTAAGGTTAAATCAGCTTCATATTAATCCATCCATCCATCAATGAATTATTAAACAAACGAAGATCAGCAGTACATTCTTCAGATATATATTTCTCAGTGAGAACACAATGTATAGCACAAACAGAGACCCTCACATTGAATGAATTCATGTTAAATAAACTGGGAGGAAACAAGCAACAGGTGAAGGATGCAGAGAAGGTTTCAGCTGATAGTAGTTCACGTTCCGAGGTTACAATCTACGCTGCTTGATCCTCTTTTCTGGGTCACTGCTGCATGTTCCTCCAGTGGTGAGTTAGTTAACCTCTCAATAGCTTAAAAAATGCAACCATTTTAACTTCCTGACTAGTTATGTTAATTCTTACACCCAGCAGTGTCACAGGAAGCCATGGCTGCGTGACAGTGAGCCACACACCCTGAAGCTTGTAAAAAATATAGACCCATTCGATTTTCATAATGTCAGACAATGCATGCAACGACAGCAACTGTTCATGTCATGACAGTGAAGTGAGACAGGACATTATTCATGTAAAAAAAAGGAAAGTTTAACTATAATAATTCAGTATAAAATCCTCTCTCATGCTCAAGTGGACAAATCTCTCATATTTAAATGTATTATCTTTATTTTTATCGTTATTTTATTTAGCTATAAAGTATGGAAAACTACTAATATAAATGACGTGCATGCTTTTCAGGGACATATCTTAGACATGTTGTGGGTAAGCTCATTTAAGAAGTTTATATTTTTATCAAGGTTATCATTTATATTGTACTATTACACAGTAATATTACACCCTTTTCATGTCCAGTGAAGGAGGATAAAGTGATGGTTTCCTTGTTTGTTTGAGCTGGAGGTCAAAGAGACAGATAAGGATCTGATCAATCAATAGAAAAGAAACATGTGTGTGTGTGTGTGTGTGTGTGTGTGTGTGTGTGTSTGTGTGTGCCTGTGTGTGTTGAGAAATAGCATGTAGCCAACAGTATTTTCCATCAAGTTCTCTTTTCATAACGTATCCGGTCACAAGTTTGTGAAACATTTGATTATAAATATCAGGGTTACTCTGACAGTCAAGGTCTGCAGTTAGCTGGTCTAAACAGAGGCTTCCCTCAGAGTGACTTATTAGTTACTCACACAGCTGGTGGTCACTTTAAAGACCTGCTTCCCAAAAACCCTTGGGATTTATTATGTTGTTTGCCAATGGATGAGTGCATTCTAAAAATCAGATATCACATGAGATATGCCTTTACAAACATTACACACACAAACACACAAATCTTCATATATACAAGACATTTTTGCATTTACAAAGCAAAAAGAATGTGGTGACATGCGTCCCAGACCACCTCCAAATGTTTGAGTGATCGGATCTCAAGACACAGATCTCAGGATGCATTGAGGATGCATCTGGGTGCTGACCACTTTGATTGGAGTGGGGTTTATCCACTGAATGTGACCAGAAAAACAAAATACACAAACCTTTCCCACATCATTGGTGGGACTGTTTATGATGAAAAAAATCCTGGCATTAGACATGTTTTATGTCATGTTGCAGTGACCACATGTTGGGAAACAAAGTAGTTACATTCATACACCAAGCATCCAGGCAGTAATTCTTTCCCTACATTATGAAAGAAAGACTGAAAAAAAGGTCTTCAGGGTTGTTTGACCCTGTTTGACGTAAGCTTCTATTGATTTAGGCTTTGGAAGACTTGTAGGAAGCAATCAAGAGGTGGTGAACTGATTGACTGGGTTACTGATTTATTCATTCTCAAGAGGTCACTTGACTGGATTGGACGGCAAGTTGATGGGATCTTAATTTGAGAATTGATTTCTCTGTGTCCACTGAATAATCATTTTTCTTCACATGCTGCAGGTGTTCATGGGGCAAGGTCAGACAGCGGGAGCCTTTCTGATGGCAGCCATATGCTTGCAGTCACAGAAAGAACAAAGCTTATACACACATTTATAGTAAACCAGATGTTTAACAGTTTTACCCTGATAGGAATTAGATTAGCATTTATATACTTTTTAATGTGGATTTTCTCAAAAAAACACTATCCACCTTGAGACGAAATACAACGTACATCAATGTTCAGCCAATAGCCCATGTTCTAGGGCTGTTTTGGAAAACATCTGACTTCTCCACCTCACCATAAAGTAGCCTAGTTTCATGTAATCACTTTAAAAGGGTCTACGATGACAAGGACCAAAGGGAACCATGTGCGAGAGGTTTTTTTTAACATATGTGGTTTCTCCCAGCATGTATTGTACTAAAGAGAACCATGAAATGCTTCTAGTTCATCACAGGACGGACACAGCTCTATATGTTCTTTATTATAAAAACTGAATATTTTTACTCATATGACTGTGGCTGTTCATCTGTAAATGTGGTTGAGTAGAATAGAACAGCATAGAAAAGAATAGAAAACTGGATTCTCTGTCTTTCTCTTCAGATTCACACACGTTCCACATAAAGACACACACTTCCATTGCCACTTGGCTGTTTCCATGGAGACTGCAGCGAGCTCTTTCTCTCCACCACTAGATCAGACCGTCTGACTTGAACACAAAACATATGCACATACACGTTCTTGCAAGCACACACACTGTAAAGTGTTACATTTTCAGTTTTAGCCAATCAGTCTGTACTATGATGACTGTTACAGCTACTGTCCTACTTAGAGCTTATCCCTACATCCTACATGCACAAGTTTATTATCACCACTGTACTGCTATATAGATCACTCTACTCATCTACAGACTTCATGTTATTCTATGTCCTGTGCAACAGCAGTCCAATCCCTCGCATATTAAGGTTTTTATGTGAGGAGAATGTAAATATTTCTTTTGTGTGCATATTAAAAGAGAATCACTTTTTACATTTGTATTTTGTAGAGACATGAGGTAAAACACTGACAGAGAGGAGTGCAATGAGTTCTGAGGGGGATGAGGGTTTGGGAGGATAAATTGTGTTTTTGGTATTGTGGATGTACACCCTCCAAATACAAAACGTGTTATTGTTCTAGCACTAGATTTGAATTATTATAAAGGTTCACATGTAGTGAGAAGATACTGGCACTGCTATGTCACTGCTGTGTCTTAAGCAACAGCACAACTCTCACTTCCCCCTCCACCAGTGGTCCATGTGCAGCCGTGTCACCACTGTGATTCTGCTGAGGTTCTTTTTCATATCCTTGGGACAATTATTTCTATATCTATCTGCTTCTCTTTAGCATACAATAACACTTAAGATGCATACAGGTACATACAATAAAAATGAAAAGAAAAATGTGTACCAATATTGATTTTTGTGACCTCTTTTCACCCCCAATAGTCACTGTTAAATTATTTTCTATACTTAAATGTGGCCACAATGCAGTTGGCTTGGTTCCCACTGTACAAAATAATAGGTGAATAAATAAAGACACTGATGAGTGAATCACACAGTCAATTAATTGTGATTTTGACGGCTGAAATTTTCAAAGGCATTAGGCATAAAGCTGTAGCCCCTGAACTTACAAATACAGATAACAGTATTTTGCATTACATGAATTTGATGTCTTTTTTACTTATAAAAATATATATAAAGGTGCACTTTTGTCCAGTGAGAAAATGTTATGATGCATGAAATGTTTGAAAACGGAGAAGTCGGACAGGCTGTGTACCATCACGTTGCTTGTACAGTGTTATATTAACAGACTTCAGTATTGCTCAATAGCAATCTGCTTAATAGTGCATTATATTTATTTCTTCTACTGGACTGAAGAAAATGTGACTGTATTGTTGTTGAGCACCAAGCAGGGCAGCATAAAGGCTACCTTTCCTTGACTTGTCCCCTTTTGTGTCTTCCAGAAATTAAATGAAAAGATGCACACCATGCAAAGGCTGCTATATGTACTATAAATCTATAAATGTAGATTTGGTAAAATCAGGATTATCTTCTCTGTATACATTAAGATTTTTTGAAGAGAATCCATTTTTTCAGTGTTGAACATCCTCGTGTGTGTATGGTACAATTTCTACTTGAGCACCTGCCTCCCAAAATGTAAGGCCCAGCTCATGGGTTTTGTTATGACTTTCACAAGCATGAAAAACAAAACTCACTCTGCAAATTGAGTATGTGTATTAGGCTTGTATGCCCGTCTGTGAAAAATGACCCCAAGACCTTACAGTTGAGTGCATGAAAAATCTTAATGTCATACTCGAAAATGCCATCATGCGTCAAAGCCAAGATGTTTAGCCACATCTGCATGATTTCATAGGAGATAGTCACCACAAAAAATGTATCTTAGAAATTGTAAAAAAAAAAAATTATTTTGTGTTTTGTGCTAATGTTTATTTTCTGTTCCATACATTTACTCTAACCATGTGAAAGCTATACTGATGCTTACACCTCTAAAGAAATTGTTATCTTTATGATTAGTTGCAGAGATATAGATTTGGGCATGCAAAGAGGAGGAGCCTAAAAAATAGACAAGATGTTTTGAATCAGCTCTTTGACTGCAGGCTGTAAAACCAATTGAAACTAAACTATGTTTTCTTCACAGTGGATCAAAGAAATCAAATTGTTGGTGTGATCACTCTCCTGAGTCTAAATGATCCTTTATCAGTGACTTTATGAGACTGGACATAATTCATTTGTCACAGTTCACACAGGAACATGACAACCAGGGGTGCTCCCGTATCCGCTCCAGTGTTGCACGTTTGTCAGAATATACAGCCAGACACATGCGCAACAGATCCTGGCACTCTGAGAAGAGAGACGACAGAAGAGAAAGGAAAGATTAGTCTGGAATCTGCACTGATATACTGCGACATGGAAGGAACACTATAACTGCACACTATTAATACGAAAACAAAGCTACTCTGATTTTACCATGGGACAGCTCATTGTTGAATTTCATCCCACTGCGGATGAAGGCACAGGTGTTAAATCGTGTGCTTCCATCCACCAACTCAAACAGCAGCACACCCAACTGCCAGACTGTGGTGGGGAGGGCCTCGTAACTGTTTGTTGTAAAAAACTCTGGAGGAGCACATGAATAGGTTCCTGTATGCAAAATAGACGGAGACAGAAAGAAACAAAGGATAAGGGAAGAGGTGGGGACTTTAGTGAAAGTCATCAATACAAAGATCAACAGATGAATGAAGAGCAGCAACAGAACCGTACCAGAGAAAGAGTGGTAAGGGGTATCTTTTGCATAGCAGCCACATCCAAAGTTTATGATCCGCACTCGAGGACCATCAGAGGTGGTTTGGATCAGGATGTTCTCCAATTTGAGGTCCCGATGGAACATATTCATGGCGTGCATCTCTATGGCTGCCTCCACCAGCTGCTTCATGATGATCTGAAACAGAAATGCAGAGACACAGATGAGTTAGAGTGGTGAAGAAGGGACTGAAGTTACACTGATTATTGTCAAAGAAGCAGCTTTTCATCAAACAGGTTTGATGTAGTAAGCTTCCTGGAGCTTCCCACCAGAAATCAATGCTCAAGAAACTATAGGTGTTTAAAGAACTTATGTTTAAATTGAGTTTCAATCTAGTTTTGGTTGGAGTCAAATGAAATGTTTCAAAGTGATGACAGGTTCAGAAGCAGTCTAGTGCAGCTTAAAAAATGTCTGACAACTCAAACTGCTTCAGTACCTTTGCCTTGTGCTCGTCCAGTTGACCACAGTTGTCCTGTAGGTGGTCAAACAGGTCGACACAGGGGACCGGTCTCTCCATGACCAGGAAAATCTCATCACCTAGATCGTACCAATCTAAAAACTGTACAACTGCAGATTTGCCCGCCAAGCCTGCTGGACCTGCTGCTGCCGTCATGACGAGCACCTCCAAGGGGATTTGATGATTCTGCCCATCGAAGACCTGATGGAAAACAATACAATAGTGTTTCTGCAACTGTGTGTGTGTGTTTTCCTCATCAACTACAGAAATATAAGAACAACAAAAATAGAAAATGATCAATCTGATTGAGTTACTCACAAATGTTCCAATTTTCTCATTTCGTTTGGGCATGTGTTTGATCGCCACCTGCAGGATAGAATCATATATCAGTACATTTGGTCAGCACAGTATGGTGAAAGTATGGATGGTGACTGTGTAAATGATGTGAAAATAGATATGATTCCACTTACCGGTTGAAAATCTGAATTTCTCTGACCAGCATAGACTGATCCTAAGCCTCTATTATTAATCTTGTAAAGCAACTGGTACTTGTCATCGAAGTCAGCTACACACAAACACACATAAACACACACGTTTGTAGTTGAGATAAACATGAACAAATATTGAATCTGTGACGGGTTAGATCTCATTTTTCTTATTTGAGTGCAAATTAAAAATGCAGCTAAATGTGGATACAGAGGAATATTAAAACATCGCAAAACCATAGTCGACTAATCCTAACTTTAACCCTAATCCAGAATTCAAAACCAAACTACACAGTGTTATCTGTTGGGATCTTGCTTCATGCAAACAGGAGCACAGTTATTTTCTTTCTCACACAACTTACCTCTGCTGTAGTGGCCAATGAGGAAAGAGAATCTGCTCTTTCCTTCAGAGGATGATTGGCCTCCGGAACTAGGGGAAGTGTCAGTGTCATTGTTGTCACCCCTCTTCCTCTTGCTGGGTGTCTCTGCCTCTGTGCTGGCCATTATTTTGTCTGTCACCAATCGATTCTTGTAAATGATTTTGGTGGAATTTGAATTTTTAAAGGTCAGGAATCGAAGCTCGTTTGTAATCTGGAACATGTTGTGGTTGTCTTAATCAGTACGAATGAAGAAAATATCCAACTGAGAATATCCACAAGCTGTTTCGTACTCTTGAGTGTGACTGAGTTGCAGCAGCCTTTTGACCGCTTTAATGTTAGGTTGAGTTTAAAGACAGATCAAAGGAGCAAAGATGTTTACATGTTCATATTCCCTTTCAAGATTTGAATGTCAGATATTGTTGTTCTCAAATATTTCATTAAAACTTAATTGTAGTCATATTGTCAGTGTATTCAAATACAACTAAATTAATAAAACACTTTAATCCATGAACAGACAGTTGTTTGAATGATGCAAAATGATTGAATAGAATCAAATTTAAAATGACCTACAGATAATGAAAATAAATAAAAATGAACAAGGGATAAAACAAAAAATGAACACATATATCCAATCTGTACATGGCTTTTGACAAACACTGTCGTAAAACGGTCGTGCAACAGCCAGGACGGCAGCTAAACCGCTTTACGGCAGGTACCTCTGTGGAGCTGAGCCGCAGCTGCCCTTGTGAAGATGTCAACAACATGTGAGTGTTTTAAAGATAACTTCTGCCTGCGGAGACAGTGAATGCTGTTGTACGTTTAGCGCTTACAAATAACCCAGTTAGTGAGATAAAGATGAGCTCAACAGTGGTGTTTTAGCGTCGTTATCTAACGTAAAAAAAAAAACACGCTGCATTGATCAACTTAATGTTCATTTATTTTTATTTCTCAGTGTTTTAGCGATCATTGGTGGCCTGGTTTAGTGACTGACACGTACTGCTAGGGTAGGACTCCACGGTTCCAACCAGTAAAGTTCAACACACATTTCCATGTGCATGTAAACCCCATAGCCAAGTTGTTTCTCTGTGTGAGCTGTATAACTGGACTGGAATATATAACAGTTTAACATGTCAGCTGTTCTCTCCCCACCTGGTGTCACTGTTGTTGTTAACCTTGAAGACATACTGACAGGGCTGTTGTGTTCACTTCTGAATATGATCATAAATATGCAGCGATGAAGGTGATGTTACTGAGGCCAAGATGTTGAAAGAGAGGGTTTCTTCAATGGGACAACCAGGGTTCAAATTCCTGCCTGAAGTGTCCTGATAGAATCTCAGACCCCTGTTCAGACCTGGAACTAACATTTATCCAGGGTGATCTGATTAAAAGTGATCTGAGAGATTTAAAAGTTAAAGTCTGAATGCATCCTGAGATTCGATAACTCACTCTACATCAGGATGTGGTAAGGGACGCATATGGCTGTAGGACCCTAAATGCATCCTGGGCCACATATGATGTCCTCAGATAGTAGCAGTCCTCTGATCTGCTACTGTTTAACCATGTTTTTACTCTTCTCAATGTCCATACACAATATCAACAATGATATAACGATTAATACTTTTTCATTCATTAACTTACTGAATCCGCTTGCTCTCTCTCTCGTTTGCACAGACACACACACAAACATTGTCATCGGACAAATCTAAGGTCTCTTCGGGAATGCAAATTTACTTACGTGATTATTTTCATATAGAGCGGGGAAGTGAGATCGGATCACAAGGGGTCACTGGAGACACATTCAGGACACATTTTATTGCAAGGTGTGAACAGACAAGTTTCACGCTGTTCATCTTTGTGAATCTTTCAGAATGGATGTTTATACCAGGTCTGAACGGAGCCTTTAAGGCGATCTATCCTCTTTGAAATGGAGGGAGTTGCGTCGGTTATCATGTTTCTAGGAAACTGATTTCTTGGTATACTCATTAATGTACTGTCTGCCTCCTTCACAGATACTGCCTACTGAAGTCTGCATCACCTAATTTACGTTTAACAAGGACAAAAACGTGACATGGCATCTCGCCTCCTCAAGTACACGGTGCTTCTTCAGAAGTACCGCACCCCGCTGCTTGTGGTGAGCTGTGGCGGGGTGTTTGCAGCCAATATCGTCTACCATGTCTTCCCTGACATGTCCTACCGCCGGCTGTATCAGGCCTGGTACAAAGGAGAGCCAGTCACACTGTCGGAAAAGTTAGAGGAGGTTTTCCAGCAGGTACTGTGTGTGTGTGTGTGTGTGTGTGTGTGTGTGTGTGTGTGTGTGTGTGTGTGTGTGTGTGTTTGCATAATTTATTGAGCTCTCTGTTTTTTTCTCTCAAGGTCACATTTTTGTAATTTTAATTAGATTTGTAAAATTTTTGCAGATGAAAGATCCAAAAGATGTTACAGAGCTAAATATTAGCACAATGTATATGGTTTTTTTTAGTAACGTTCTTATACAAATGCATAACATTTGCAACAGTTTTACAGTTTGTGAGGTGAAATCAATAGAGAAAAATAAAAGCCTTTTAAGTTGCATCAATTGCACACAGAAGGTACATAGATAACTGTCAAAAGACTATAAATTAATATTTTGTCGAGCATCAATGGAATTTAGGGTTTGGGAGTAAAGCAGATTATTACAAACTGTAGTGACATTTTAATGTACTTGTCATTTGTAGGTGTTAAAGGATTATGGTATCAGCTCAGCCAAGAATTTCTCCTCCTTCGCCTCCTTTGGGTTCCATCCTGTCGGCGCTGGTGTCCCTTGGCTCCCTGCAGGGGCACAAATTGGCATCCCAGCAAACTTCAACAGCACAGCCGATGACTTAAGTGGCATCACCAACCGAAGCATTTTCATCAACGGCAAAACGGTGGACTGGAGCAGTGATACTGGCTCTGCACTAAAAGAGTCACTGGTGTTTTCACTCGAGGCACAGAAGTTTGCCATAGCACGAGAAGTGGCCCGTTTGCAGTCTGGAGGACCTGTTCTGAATGCTGCTGTGGCCCCATTCTGCCTGGGCGGGGTTTGGGTGTACAGTGTCGTTCTGAAGCAGGTGTTTGGGCTCCATGCCGGGCCGCTGCTTTTTCGCGGTGCTGCGAATGTTGTGGCGCTCTGCCTTGGTTACGTGTCTTACTTCCTCACCTCGGATGCTGTCAGCCAGTGGATTGACTACAACTCAGACAGAAGTGCAGCCAGGGTATCACGTGATTATGCCAAAGGAGGGGTAGAGTTCTACGATAAGATTCTGTGCAGAAACAAAACTTTGCGCACTCTGATGGGTCAGAAGGGAGAGGAGATGTATGCTCCCAGTGGGAACTTGTTTCCTGCTCACCTCCTTCAGCTGAAACACACATCATACACATCCAGGAGGGAAGGGATCCTCACTCTGCTCAAAAAGGATAAAGTTTGAAAGTCACCAGGGCTCTCAGGAACAACTGTAATGACTTATGTGAATTGTAAATGTCTCTGAATAGACTGTAGAGACCTATGAGAGTCTCTGAGCTCTTTTAAGCAGTAAAAAACTGGCAAAATAAATTCTTATTCTCCTTGTTTTGTGTATTTTCTGTTGTATTTTATGAATCCAGAAGTGCAGAGCAATTCAAATTTAACTGGGAAGCAGCATCAAAATGCCCTACTGAGACAATTTAAACTAATATTGTTCAAATAATGATTCCCTATCATATGATGTCATAAAGAAGTCACTAACACAACATAAAATAACATTGTACATAGTTCATAAATTGATATTTAGAGGTATCTCATGCATCTACTTAAGCATGTTTGTGTCAGGCACAGACACATATAGGGAACTTAAGGAATTGAAGGGGACTGTATGCTCTCTACAGTGTGCCATATATATACATGTATGTATATATATAGATATATATATCTACATTAGTTTTGTGCCTCTTACTATTACATTTACAACCTGCTTGGAATGATCAGTGTTGGAAAACAGTTTAACTGTGAGATTCCTCCAAGGTTAGAAAGAAAAACATTTATTTTTACATTTTGTTTAATGGTAACTTGCTATTTTATTATCCGAAGTAATATTGTTTTAAAAGTATTTTTCTTAATTCCATTATACAATTTTTCATTCATCAAAACCTGAAACCCTTTACTTAGCACTGGAAGCTTCCTGTTGCACACCATGGGCCCACATTTGGTCGTACTGTCAGAGAATCTGAATTATCCTCGTGTACACTATCACTCAATGAAAGGCCAGAAGAACCCATTATGGAGCAAAACATGTTGAGTGTCTGTGGAATGGACAAGCACTGAAAAGCACTGTACAGTTGTGGCATGGCAGAAATGTGGAGCCATATCAAAGCAGTGAATCCTCTCACAAAGAAAGAAGCTGTTTGTACTGTTGAAAGAAGCCACGACAATCATAATATGAGGCTGAATAATGTAACGTGTTCCCAGTACGCCTGTATAAAAGCTCCGTCTTTCTCTTTCCCTTGCACTCTTTGTTCACCTTTAGTGACTTGTTTTTCCTTATATGAATAATCTAATTGATTATTTAACAACATCACTTTTATCAATACCACTGTTCTTTCATCCTCCTCAGCTCAGGCCTTTAATAACCTTTATTGAGAGCAACACTCCGCATACCCACACATCATTTGCATGCCCCCTACTAATTTGTTGGGTGATAGTAATCTTAATATGCAGCTTATTGTGGAAAGAGCTCCTCATATACTGTAGCACCCGAGTTCCCTTAGGTTGTCCGTTTACATATTAACAAGGTTCAGATATGCTGTTTTAATTACATTTCTAATTTTGTACCCAGTGGATTGAACTAAATATAGAGGTCTTTAATTAATAGAGTTGCAGGCAGACATGCATTTAAAATCTTTTACATCATTGTCCTCAGGGACACTGTTTAATAGAAATACACGTGAAAAAAATCTCCAGTTTTTTTCTCCATCCAGCGAGAACTAGAAAAATGCATGTTCTGATCAAATCTGGATATAAAAAGCATGCAGGCAGCAGAACTTGTGGAGTAACTTGACTGTTGTTCATCAAGGCAACTCGGGGATGGTGTTCTCTGACAGAGAGAACCTCTTTACATTGTGCCTTTGAGCAAGATACTGGATTTGTTCTATATCTATGCTCATGAAGCAGATTTGGGAACTTTCTGCAACTTTCATCGAGAAACTTCCCCCCGATGAACTAACTATTGTCATTGTTTCTTATCATCATATCATGCTGGGAAAATGTTGCAAATGAAACGTTGGGAGAAAAAGGGAATGTTCCCGTCAAGAATAAGACTAAACAATCAAAGTGTTGGCTAGATTTTTAGTTTTTAGTCCATCATTTCCATGACTACAAAGTGGCTTTGAGATGTGTATATGAACAACACTGGGCTTATTGTCTCGCTCTTGCCGCTCCGCTTCATCTGCTTACTTCATTGTTTACTCTCAGATACAACTGTACAATGGACCATTGTTTGTTGCATTGTACGCTATTCCTTTTAGAAGCCACTAGGGGTCAGGACAGCCTACATTACCACTCATACAATTTGCTACTATGTTTCTTTTACAGTGTCCATGAATGACGAATCCATTAAATGTGAATGGGTAGAGTTGGACTGGAAGTGAAAGGAAAGAAAAGAAAGGGGGGATGTTGATTATCAGTGATTAATTCTGAAAATCTGCCATTTATAAAGACACATATTTTCTCAATGAAATTCAAGTTAAAAATGCAATCACTGTGTGTGCTAGTACTTTTTTTTGCTAATTATTCTGGACCATATTGGGACCAAAGCCTGGTCCAAATGAGGCAAGACTTCATTTCTGACATCCTGATCAAGGTAAAGGGTCTGATGTGAATTGTGGATAGGTTAGGTTAGGGTTAGGCATGGACTGTTCATCTCTGAGGTTAAGGGATGAGATACTAGTTTAGGGTTAGAAATTTAGCTGTGATGGTTGTGGTTTGGGTAAGGGTTCGACAATAATGAAAATAACAATATTTAAATAGCACTTTTCAAAACACAGGATGATGTTTTAGAGGTGTAAGGTTAGGGAGGCCGGTGAGTGTCCTCATGAGACAGAAGTCCAAGGTTGTGTGAGTGTGTGTGTGTGTGTGTGTGTGTGTGTGTCTGTGTCACGAGTAGCAGGCTGCTGCAAATGTCCTCCAGAAAAGCTGAGAAAGTTTTTTTTTTTTTCTGCTCTTGTGGTCAAATAAATTCAACCTTAATTTTATTAGTGTATTATCATTGAGTAATGATTTGGCCCCATTCAGAAAAACTGGAGCGTAAAAACACGTGAATAATTTCGAAGGATTTCCCAATACATTTCCCAACCCATGCAAACCGTGTTGTCAGTGAATGCAGCACATGTGTGCAGTGCATATTATTACAGTGTTGATGTTCATTAATGCCACAAGTTAAAACACAGATTAAAAACGCTACGGGCTTTCGCCTTTGTTCTTCAAAGGATCGTGTGTGTGAGTGTTAAGATTAGATTAGATCATGCAGCGGTTCTACGTGGATGCGCGCAAAAACAAACAGCGCGCCTCCCGCTCGCTGGCCCCGCCCCTGTGCGCTCGGTTTGCGCCATGACGTCGCCGCTGCTCGGAGCTGCGGTGCAGGCAGGAGCAGCTGCAGAGAGCAGGGACCGCGGACAACAACGGACACGCTCCCGCTGAAGTCTCCAACGCAACATTCGCCTCATCGCCGATCTGACGTCCACAAATCTACGCTTGTGATATTTTTTTCTTCGGTGGTTGCATTTTCTCTATTTTTTTTTTATCACGCATGCGTGGGATTATATTTCACATTGTGTCGACCTGAAATGACTGCTGCTGGTCGCCGCGTCTAGCCAATGGTTACTGCGGGGGCTCCTGTCTTGTGGATTATCCGTCGTCGCCGAGCCAGTCGCATGGTCGAGCCCGGAGGAGGCCCCGCTCTGCTGGGTGGATGTGTGTGAGGCACCGCCGGACTGCGAGTGCTGATGAAGACGGTGATAGTGATGATGCTCGGGCTTCGTCGGCAGTGGGCGAACTGATCTTGGATGTTCGGGCCACATCGCCCCGACACAAACCATTTCCTCACACAGCAAACATTCAATTGCTTAAAAACTGGACGCCCCTGGAGCAGTTTATGACGGTAAGAGAGACCCGCAGGCCACCAGCTCCACACTGCCAACTGACGTTAGCTTGCTAACTAGCTTAGCGCTGTCACTTTTACCCAAGTTGCTGCCCGCACAGGCTAAAATTGGCCACTATTGCGAAATAGCCCCGACATAACGTCACTCCAAGGGGCTCGTGTTGCAATTACACTTGTGCCTATTTAAGTGCGACCCCCCCACCAACAAGAAATACAAAGCTTTAACACACATTTCCCTCCACAAGCTCAGTAGCCAGTGCTTGTGTAGCTTGCTTGTTAGCTAGCCGCGTCTTAGCCCATTCAATATCTCGCTGCTTACTTTACGCAGCTGCGAAACAGCAGCGGATCCAGTCTGCGAAGCGTCGGTTTGCGTTTTTCCACGTTTATCGAATGAGCTTCACTTCCCCTGTAGTGGTCGCATGTCATTCACTCAAACAGGCCCGTTAATGGCTCATTCATTGTACAGTGCACAAGGAGCCCTTTAATGACAGGAGCCCAAGTTGGCGTTGAACGGAGCCAGTGCGGCGTCAGTTCAGCTCAGTTGCGGCTGTGGCTTTAAAATGTCACATCGCTGTTATCATATGCACCAGCCATTGTGTGATTTGTGATCGTTGAGAGGTTTGCGTTGACAGCTGCTGTGGAGATCCTGCCCTGGAGCCTGAACGTAAACAGATAAACCGAATAGAGATCATGCAGATCACCGTGAACGTGTGCGGTCATTCATTGGTGAGTGACTGTTGAAGCAGATGCGTTCACGTACGTGTCATATTCCAGAAACGTCACGCAAGGAGGCCTGTGTGGATAAGCTGCTTATTTCGCCTCTGCATGGATGATACTTCATTGTTGTCGTGCAGTAAATGACAGCATGAACTCCTGTGTGCTGGGTGAGCAGCTCTAAACTGTGCTGTTCAGTAATGGATGTGATGGTTTTTTGCTGTGATGAGGCGTCCTCTTCTTTTCCTCTCTCTCTCTCTCTCTCTCTCTCTCTCTCTCGATGACGTAACCCTCCACCATCCGTGCCACATCTTTTGGGTCGCAGTCGGTTCCTCCGCTGCCTGCTGCTTGCCAGTCTGCTGCCGATGCTGAGATCATATGGACGGTGCTCTCTCCTGTTTGTCCGACCTCCCATCTCTCCATCGCTGGTCCCCTCTCGTCCTGTTTTAGCTATCTAAACTGCAGAACGACTTTAAAGACATTTCCACGATAGCTCATGAACTGGTTCTCAAATACAGGGGGCAGCCAGTGAATGAAATATTCAATCTCTCTTCAGTTTTCCCAAAAAAACTGTGTGACCGGGGTCCCCAGGGATCTGTGAAGGCAGCAGCATAAGCCCCCCTACCCATCCCCTCACGCCCTTAACCCACTGATAATTTTACTGACTCTTTATTTGTAAGATGAGACAGTGGGAATTGTTTTGACAAGAGCTTTTCTACACTATCCACGTCTGAAAGAATCCCTATGAACACCTAGTTTAACAGACACCCCACCCCCTCCCAAAATGACTTTGACCTTATGTTAGTGGCTCATCTTGACCTGAATACATCTAGGATGGGGGGTGGGGTGGGTGGGAGGGCGATGGTTGCTGAAGCTGAACTACTTATCTTGGGAATTAGGCCTGCCATGTAGCACATTTTTAATATGGGACACCACTAAAGCTGTTGCATCAAGGATTATTTTACATTAGATTACACTACTAGAAAAGTGTGACTGGCTTTTTAGCCTATACAGTCCTTAGACTTGTAAATGACATGCATCTTTGTGAAGGTCACTGATGCCACTTTTGCTATCAAATGTTGGTATCATCAAAATGCTGTATATTATATTTAGTAGTGCAATTACTTACAGTGAGATACACCCTGAAGAGCTTAGTTAAATGAACTCCACATTATTGTCATCCCTTAATTATATGTTTTTAGCTACGTATTTTTATCTGATCCACCTGCTTTCTCTTTCCACACACTAAGTGATAATTATTCTTTAAAATGATAAATACATAATTCCTGCCTGCGCAAGAATGTTTCTTGCTTCTGCTGAAACCAACAGAAGCGCCATGAAAGTCTGCAACCAGAGCTTGGCCATAACAGCAGAGTTGGATTCTCTGAAGCAACAATCCTTAACGAGTACATTTACATGGACACCAATAATCTTATTGTTGGTTTTATTTTGAGCAAGACATTATTTCAATGAGCATGTTTACATGAGTTGCTAATAGAACATTCTATTCATATTCCTGTTTACATGTTACAGAGCATAGTCTGATTATGACTCCCATGAACATTATGTTCACTACCTTATACGCCCCTTGTTCCCGCCAGAATTTAAAACCCTTAACCTGTGCTGTACAGTTCAATGTCGCAAAATGCTGGACGTCATAGTGGATTAAGACGTATATGTCTAATGAGTCTAAGGTTGGAATGCTCCCCCTGACCTTTTTTCTCCAGAGGCATATTATAAATCCTTTCATGATGTGCTGAGCAGAATCCTGGATTGAACTAAATATCTTTGCTTGTTGTGCTGTCCAGTACTGAAGAACTGGACTCAGCTGGTGAAGATTAAATTGCCTGTGGCAATGGCCCCGCTTTACTTGAGCAGTGCACCTGAACCAGCCATCCCCATGGTTTACGACAGAAGTGTGTGTGTTTGAGGTAGAGAGGGCAGATAGTAAGAAGCGAGGGGAAGGTTGGGATAGGGAGGGATAGGGAGGGATGGGGGAAGAAGATGGAGGGGGGCACAGGTGTGGCGGAGGTAATTGGAATTAACTAAACCTGCTAGCAGAAGGCTGGGGTAACCCATGGGAGCAAGCTAGGAGTCAGGGGGTATCATTATCAAATTGGGAGTCAATTTCAACTGTGGATATGAAGCAGGGGCAAACTGTTATTGACCCCTGTGTTATATCCAACCATTCAACCTCAGAAGTATATTGTGTTTTTTTATAACAATAATACAAATAAGCATATTGCCTGTAGCAAGACTCTGCGATGACAACAAGGGCAAACATAGTTGGATTAGATTTTGACAGTCAGTTCTTTATCCTTAACTTGATGATATTCTGTTGTATCAATCCAAGATAAAGGATGTTTATATGTTGAATAATTCTGTTTGCCAGCCCTACGTCCTCAGGGGTTTAGTTGATGGCTGCAGGAATTTGACTGCTCCATTACCTCCTCAAAGGATGTTTTGTTTGTTAAATTTTGGTGCAGATTCAGGAGATTTTTTTCACTTTCTTTAACAATTTTCCCCTCTTAATATTTAACGGATCTCGATCAGGCACATTTAAGGAACTGATTTTAATGTTCTTTATTGAGTCATATTGGGGCTGCTGGGGCTTAGTGGTGGTATGTGTTCTACTGAGTACCATTCTAATTGAAAATAGAAACAAGGAGACGCAGCAAATCCATGTCCACTTTGGCGTCCTGAGACTTCTCACTACCGATGAATCATTGTGTCTCCCAGGGGTTGATGAGTGCCAGTCGAGAAGATGCATACAGATGACAGCCATCTGCTTAAACATCATAAACTGAGCCACATAGCAACGTGGTCAAAGGTCAACCATTGTTCTCGTCAGTTTGAGAGACTGAGAGATGTGTATACAATGTGGGATGGGCTCCGAGTAGAGAATGTTAGGGAATGTGTGGAATATTGTATGCCTAAAGATCACGTTTAATAGGTCTTGTACAAAATTAGTGGATATGGGCAATAGAATAATACATATATGAATGAGGGTATTATCTTCATTCACCAAAGTTTTAGCTGCTGGCTGACATTCTGTCCTTCCAACATACTGTATGTTCCTTACTTGCCAGTTCCTCACCGCTTTCTTTTCTTTGTCTGAAACCTTATTTCTGGTTGGTCTCAATGTTATAAAGGCACGTGCTGCCACTTAGCGTGGTGCTCAGTAGGGCTGACCGCTCAGTGTTTGTGTGAACTGACAAGTGTAGGTAAGAGTACTGCTAGTTGAGTGCTGCGGGCAAGATCAGAATTTGAAGATGGTGGCATTTGGTGAATCTTACTTTAGTTAGCTTATTTTGTTATAGTAAAAGAATCCAAGTAGTATTAGTGAACTATCCTTCCTGCCAATTACAGTGTCAGTCTGACATGGCAGAGGCTAACATTGAATTCACAGATCACCATGATTGTCCTGAGTCACAGTTCTTTCTGGCAGCACTTAAGTGAACATCCATTCATGAATATCTTGCAAGGTAGCTCCCAGGAAGGCAGCTACTTAGTGTTGTGTTGCTGAGGTGGATATGACACATAGTTCCTCAGCAAAAATCATCTCCCGAGTCCCAAACACAGCTGTGTTTACCCTGCACAAGACACCACGGCTACAGAATGCCAGGACGAAGGTGCCTCCACAGATCCAGACTTCCAAAATAGAAAGCAAGTAATGCCATATTAATAGCACATTCTGACTGGCTACAAAAGAAAGCTATATCAAATATGGATGCATCTGTCAGGCACAGTAGTCTCAGTATAATTCAGAAAGTAGCGGAGAAGACTTGCATGTTGTTATTTGCTGCCTGTGAACACTGGGACAAAAATAATAGTGGCCTTGTGAATTGAGTGTAAATGATTGGGGGTAGATTCACTTCTGTGTGGGAAAGAAGCCTTATTTTACTTAAGAATGAAGTGTTTATTCATAGTGGCACAGTCGTAGTATTGTTCTGTCTTGTTCCAAGATTTTATTTTAGATGTAATATTGTCAGATCAGGGTCACATTCTCTCTCTCTCTCTCTCTCTCTCTCTCTCTCTCTCTCTCTCTCTCTCTCTCTCTCTCTCTCTCTCATTCATTACAGAGAATTGTGACTCTACATGCATGAACAAGATCAGAGTCGTATCTGAATATTCTTCTCCTTAATAATCATACCACTGTCTCAGAGTGTCACAGAAATCACTCTTTCATCTGATCTAACATTGCACTAACAGAAAAAAACTCTTTATTACCTCTACCAGGGAGCTTATGTCTTTGTTTGTTTGTTGCTCAGTAGGATTATACGAAA